GAGGTCTTCCAGGAAGGCCTGAAGAGGTCAAAATCATCAATTCACCTTAGGTTTTTGGAAGTTGTTCGTATTTGCCCCTTGTCGGCTTTCCGACGGCCCAAGACGGCCCAGGAGACCTCCAAGATCGACTCAAGATCGCCCAAGAGGCCTCGAAGATGGCCCCATGACGGCCCAAGAGGCCCCCAAGACGGCCCCAAGAGGGCCCCAAGACCGCCCAAGAGGCCTCCAAGACGCCCAAGATGGCCTCTAAGACGGCCCTGGAGCACCCCAAGAGGGCCCCAAGTCGGCCCAAAGAGGCCCCCAAAACGGCTTCCGACGGCGTCAGACGGGCCAGGAGCCCACCAAGATGGCCGAAGTTGGCTTGTGGCCCAAGACGGCCCACGAGGCCTCCAAGAGGGCCTCCAGGAAGGCCAGAAAAGGCCAAAAACACTTTTATTCATTAGGTTTTTGAAGGATTTTGACATTTGCTTCTTTTCGGGCTTCCGACGGCCCGAGGGCCCCCAAAGATCGCCCAAAGATCACCCAAAGATCGCCCAAGAGGCCTCCAAGATGGCCCCAGAACGGCCCAAGAGACCCCCAACACGGCCCCAAGAGACCCCCAAGACGGCCCAGGAGGCTTTTAAGACGCCCAAGGTGGCCTCCAAGACGGCCCTGCAGCATTCCAAGAGGGCCCCAGGTCGTCCCAGAGAGGCCCCCCAAACAGCTTCCGACGGCGTCGGACGGGCCAGGAGCCCACCAAAACGGCCGAAGATGGCCCTCAGATGGACCAAGACGGCCCAAGAGGCCTCCAAGAGGGCCTCCAGCCCCAAGAGGCCCTCAAGACGGCCCATGAGGCCTCCAAGACGCTCAAGATGGCCTCCAAGACGGCCCAAGAGCCCTCCAAGAAGGCCCGAAAGGGTCAAAATGGCCTCCAGACGGCCAAGATGACTTTCAAGATGCCCACGTGTTCCCCGAAGGCTTTCCAAAGCGATTCGGGGAACACATGGTCCGATAGCTTGGCAGGTCTGGCCTCAACGTTCGGCCACATAGGCACTTCCAAAAAGGCAGGGGGCGGCGGGAATTCGCCGTAGGCGTCTTCGATAACGCAAACGCATCCATATGCGCTGATGACTCCTATCCGCCCCCGCATGATGTTCCCAGGTGCGCCAAGGCAGCGCCGAGACGCACCAACGCGACTCTGATAGATCTCATTATGATAAAGAGCAAGCCGGCGGCAAGGGGCGAAGCCCCTACGGATAAATTGTGAGGAGATATAAAGCGGCAGCCGATGTTGTTGTTGTTGTAACTTGGTAGCAAGGGGCCCAGTTGGGTGACCCCACACTGCCCCTTGTAAAAAACGGTGCGAGCCCTGGGAGGAGCACTTTCATTGAAAAGTGCAGTGGTTACCAGAAGGGAATCAACAACACTCCTTCTTTAGAAATGAAAACTCAACCACAACAACAACAACAATAACAATAATACTACTACTAGCAACAACAACAATAACAATAATACTACTACCAGCAACAACAACAACAACTACTACTACTACTACTACTACTACGACTACTACTTCTACTACTACTACTACTACTACTACTACTACTACTACTACTACTACTACTACTACTACTACTACTACTACTACTACTACTACTACTACTACTACAATCATGTTAAGACTGTCCGCTCTTATCTGCCCGAGTGTCCGTTAACGCGTATCTCCCAGACCCTCGATACCCGCCCTCTTCGTCTTCGATCGTACCCCTTTGAGGGGTATACCTTTGTTCACTGCAGGCCGGGCCCCGGCAAGCGGCGGGGCGGCCGCGGACCGTTGGCCTGGCCAGCGGCAGCGCTGATCGGCGGCAACCCGACCCCAAGAGGGACGGACAGGGGACCGACCACGACGACGACGATGACGAGCGAAAGCGAGAGCGAGAGAGAGAGAGAGAGAGAGAAAACGACAGCAGGGCCACACAGGGCACGAAGTAGGCCACGAAGGGCGACAGCGGGGACACGAAGGGAATGCGTATGGGACCACGAAGAGCGCGAACGAGCGGGGGCTACGAAGAGCAGATAATGCGGGGCCACAGAAGGCAACGACGGGGCCACTGAGGATAGCAACCGGGCCACGTGGGACAGCGAGGGGGCCACGGAGGGCGGCAGCGGGGTAACGAAGGGCACGCACGTGGGGCCACGACGGGCGCGCACGAGCGGGGGCCACGAAGGGCATACATAGATGGGGCCACGAAGGGCAGCGACGGGGGCCACGAAGGGCTGCAACGGGGCCACGGAGGACAGCAAGGGGGCGACAAAGGGCGACAGCGGGGCCACGAAGGGCATGCATATGGGGCCACGACGGGCGCGAACGAGCGGGGGCCACGAAGGGCATACATAGATGGGGCCACGAAGGGCAGCGAGGGGGGCCACGAAGGGCTGCAACGGGGCCACGAAGGGCAGCGATGGGGCCACGAAGGGCATGCATATGGGGTCACGAAGGGCAGCGAGGGGGCGCCTGCGAAATCACCCAAAGCCAGCCATCCATAAACAAAAAAACGACCCAGCAGCACCCCATTGACAACGATCACACGGGCACTCGACAGCCGTGCACCAATACGGGCCGGCGGAATGAGCGAAGCGATTAAATAAAATGCTAGGAAGTCTCAGGCGGGAGCGGGGGTCCTGGCTAAATTGTGAGGAGGTCTCAGGCGGGAGCCATTGTTGCTGTAATCCGGGGAGCAACAACACAGTTTAAGCCTCAAGATTTTCCCTGAAAAAAACGGGTGCGAGCGCCAGTAGGGCCACTTGAATTGAAAAATACAATATGCATCGGGGGGGGTCAACAATAATTATTCTTCAATAATGAAAATTCAACAACATCAACAACAACAACCACCACCACAACAAAAACACAACGACGACGACAACGACAACAACAGCAGCAACAACACCAGCAGCAGCAGAAAAAAACCACAACAACATGTCCATCGCCGTCACCATCACCATCAGCATCACCATCACTATTACCATCACCACCACCACCATCATCATCATCATCATCATCATCATCATCATCATCATCATCACCATCATCATCATCATCATCATCATCATCATCATCATCATCATCGTCGTCATTATCGTCATCATCATCATCAGCATGACCATAATCACCGTCATCAATATCATATATCATCCTTCATACCGATCCTCCTCCCTTCTCCTCGCCTCTCCTGTCCCCCTCCGTCGTCGTCGTCGTCGTCGTCGTTGACATCGTCGACGTCGTCTGCGTCATGGTCTGCGTCGTCGTCGGCGTCGCCGACATCTGCGTCGTGTGAGTGGTCGTCTGCGTCGCCGTCTGCGTCTTCGTCTGCGTCGTCGTCGGCGTCTGGGTGTTCGTTGTCTGCGTCGTCGTCGTCATCGTCGCCTGCGTCGTCGTCGTCTGCGTTGCAGTCCTTGTTTGCAACGACGCCGCCGGTGGCGTCGTCGTCTGCGTCGACTGCGTCGTCGACTGCGTCGTCGTCGTCGGCATCTGGGACGTCGTCGTCTGCGTCGTCGTCAACGTCATCATCATCATCATCATCATCATCATCATCATCAGCTGCAGCATCATCAGCATCAGCAGCAGCAGCATCATCCTCATCATCACCATAATAATCATCATCCTCATCACGGTCGTCAACGTCATCATCATCATCATCATCATCATCATCATCATCATCATCATCATCATCATCTTCATCTTCTTCATCATCATCATCATCATCATCAGCATCATCATCATCACCATAATAATCATCATCCTCATCACGGTCGTCAACGTCATCATCATCATCATCATCATCATCATCATCATCATCATCATCATCATCATCTTCATCTTCTTCATCATCATCATCATCATCATCATCATCATCATCATCATCATCATCATCATCATCATCGTTGTCGCATCGTCGTCTGCGTCGTCGTCGTCTCCGTCGTCGTCTGAATCATCGTCGCCGTCGTCGGCGACGTCATCGTGTGCGTCGTCTGCGTCGTCGTCTGCGTCGTCGTCTGCGTCGTCGTCTGCGTCGTCGTCGCCGTCTGCGTCTGCATCGTCGTCGTCGTCTGCCAGGTCGTCGTCGTCGCATCGTCGTCGTGCTCGTGGTCGTCGTCGTCGTCGTCTGCGTCGTCTGCGTGGTCGTCTGTGTCGACGTCGGCGCGTGGGTCGTCGCCGTGCGCGTCGTCGTCTGCGTCGTTGTCGCCAGCGTCTTCGTCGTCTGCGTCGTCTGCGTCGTCGTCTGCGTCGTCGTCGTCTTCGTCGAGATCATCATGCCGTCGTCGTCGTCGTCCGCGTCGTTTGAGTCATCGTCGTCGGCGTCGTCGTCGTCTGCGTCGCCTGCGTCGTCGCCTGCGTCGACGTATGTGTCGCCGTCGGCGTCTGGGTCGTCGTCGTCGTCTGCCTCGTCGTAATCGTCGTCTGAGTCGTCGTCGTCGCGTCGTCTTCTGCATCATCGTCGTGGGTCGTGGTAGGCAATGTCGTCATCGTCATCGTCGTCGACGTCGTTGCCGTCGTCGTGGTTATCATCATCGTCGTCGTGGTCTGCGTCGCCGTCGTGTTCCACGTCTTCTGCGTCGTCGTCGTCGTCTGCATCGTCGTCGTCGTCGTCTGCGTCGTCGTCATCATCGTCGTCGTGGTCGGCGTCGTCTACGTTATCGTCATCATAGCCATTATCGTCTTCGTCGTCGTCCTCGTCACCGTCGCCGCAGCCGTCGGCGTCGTCGTCGTCGCGTCATCGTCGTCGCGTCGTCGTCGTATGCGTCGTCGTCATCATCGTTGTTGTCGTGGTCGGCGTCGTCGTCTGCGTCGTCGTCATCATCGCCGTCGTCGTTGTCGTTGTCTGCGTCGTCATCATCTGCGTCGTCGTCATCGTCGCATGCGTCGTCGCCATCGTCATCCTCTCCCATCGTCCTCCCCCCACGGTGGGAGACCCCCACAGGAGCGTGGAGCGAACGCTTGAGCGTAAAAAGGCGCTCTCCGTGGCACGCTCGCGGTGCCAGCGCACTGGGGAGCCGCCGCCAAGCCAGCCACCGTGGGCGGGTTGATCGTCGGGTACGAATGGTAGCGGTGCACGGCCTGCCAGGAGGCAGGTGGCTCCTAAATCTCCGACGAGCTGATTTTTTCAGTCTCGGCGTCTATCCTTCGATATCGGCCTCCGAGGCCTCTTATCCTGCCCCAGGACCATGAGAAATGGATCCGGGACGAAAAACAGGCACCGTGGAAGGGGTCCGGACCTCTGGGGCCGAACATTGAAAAGATCACATCGGCGGATGTCCGGGTTCGTCGTCTTCCTAGTCCTAGTCCTCGCCCTCCTCGTGCTCCTCCTCGCTGTCAGGTAAGTGCACCTTTGCAGACGCAAAACATGGATATTTTTGCTGTTCTGTCGTTGCTGACCGCTGCTGTCGATGCGCAGCATGCTCGCATGGACACTCACATGAATTCCATCGCATGGAGTTCGGCCTTATTCCACATGGATTGTTCTCGGTTTCCACCGCCCTGTTTCCTTGTGACTCGCATGGCTTGGCAAGAAGGAAAATCCACACATAATACATCAGGCAATCCATACTATAGTTCCAAACCATCCTGTGGTGTTGGGTCCTCGTTTTGAAGAGACGGTCCCCGCGTTCTCCTCCCGCCTCCTTCTTCCCTCCTTCCTCCTCCTCCCCCTCCTCCCTCCTCCCTGTGTTTCACCCACCCAGCACAGCGCTGCGTGGCCTCATAGGGAGCTCCACCGAAGGTCCCGGTGGCGCATGCGCCAACCACCACCCAGCACAGCCCTTCCTCCCTGCGCTTCACCCACCCAGTACAGCGCTTCGTGGCCCCATAGGGAGCTCCACCGAAGGTCCCAGTGGGACTGCCCGCATACGTCAACCACCACCCAGCACAGCCCTTCCTCCCTGCGTTTCACAGCGCTTCGTGGCCCCATAGGGAGCTCCACCGAAGGTCCCAGTGGGACCGTCCGCATGCGTCAACCACCACCCAGCACAGCCATTCCTCCCTGCGCTTCACCCACCCAACTAAGCGCTTCGTGGCCCCATAGGGAGCTCCACCGAAGGTCCCAGTGGGACTGCCCGAATATGTCAACCACCACCCAGCACAGCCCTTCCCCCCTGCGTTTCACCCATCCAGTACAACGCTTTCTGGTCCCATAGGGAGCTCCACCGAAGGTCCTAGTGGGACCGCCCGCAGGCGTCAACCCCCACCAAGCACAGCCCTTCCCCCCTGTGTGTCACCCACCAAGTATAGCGCTTCGTGGCCCCATAGGGAGCTCCACACGAGGTCCCAGTGGGACTGCCCGCATGCGTCAACCACCACCCAGCACAGCCCTTCCTCCCTGCGCTTCACCCACCCAGTACAACGCTTCGTGGCCCCATAGGGAGCTCCACTGAAGGTCCCCGTGGGACCGCCCGCATGCGTCAACCACCACCCAGCACAACCCTTCCTGCCTGCGTCTCACCCACCCAGCAAAGCGTTTCGTGGTCCCATACGGAGCTCCACGTTGCACTCCGATTCCACACTTCAGGATGCCCTGTCTGATCGCTGGGCGGGTGTAAAGCATGGGGGCGCCCTGAATACAGCCAGGTCCGGAGGGAGAAATAACTGCATAAACATGACCTTCCGGAGGTCCGCACGGATTCTTGGATCGTCGCCAGGGGTGGTGCCAGAGGCGCCACCAAGGGGTTCCAAACGCAGCTCAGAGAAACCCGCGTGGACCGCCGAAATGATGATGATGATGATGATGATGCTGGTGATGATGATAATGATAATGATGATGATGATGATGATGATGATGATGATGATGATGATGATGATGATGATGATGCTGTGAATGATGATGGTGGTGATGGTGATGATGTGTGTGCTGATGATGGTGATGATGATGATGACGATGATGATGTTGATAATGATTATGATGTGAATGATGCTGGTATTGACGATAATAACAATAACGATGATGATGATGACGATGATGCTGATGCTGATGCTGCCGATGATGATGCTGATGTTGTATGTTGATGGTGATGATGCTAAAGATGATGATGTTAACAACGCTGCTGGAGATGATGCTGCTGCTGATGCTGATGATTATGATGCTGGTGATGATGCTGATGCAGATGATGCTGGTGACGGTGGTGATGATGATGCTGCTGGTGATGATGCTGATGATGTTCATGGTGCTGATGATGATTTTAATAGTAGTGATGATGATGATGATGCCAATGATGATGGTGATGATGGTGATGACGATGATGATGCAGAGGCTGATGCGATGATGCTGATGATGATCTTATTACTCTCAGTGTGCCAGAGACCATCTTTGCTGCCTGGGGTCGAGGGCGACTGCCCCGCCGCCAGAGCAGGAGCCTCGAGACAGACAGAGCAGCAGCCAACATCAGATGAGACTTGCAGGCGAAAGAGGGGGGAGGGGGGGAGACTTGAGCCGCAGTAGTTGCGGCACACAACATTGCAACGACCAAAGCACTCAGCAAGCAGTTATATGATCTTATTACTCTCAGTGTGCCAGAGACCATCTTTGCTGCCTGGGGTCGAGGGCGACTGTCTCGCCGTCAGAGCAGGAGCCTCGAGACAGACAGAGCAGCAGCCAACATCAGATGAGACTTGCACTTGGCATAATTGCAACCCCTGGCCAATGGCCGCAAGCATTTATACACATTATAGAGCAAGCCTACTGAGTTTTGCATCGCGGAGATTGTCTGCACAAGTCACGAGCCAGCTGGCACCCCACTGGCAGAATTGACGTGGGTATCTGTTCAAGCAGGCAGCAGGTGCGGCATGAAACCGACGATTACCAGAGCACCGATTGCCGCGAGCTTTACACGGAGGCCGCACGTTGAGCGCGGGAAACTTGGCCGCCCACACCCAGAGTTTCGCCGGACGGACGCAGGCCCCTCCGCACTGACAGGGGTCCAGCTCAGCAGTCTGAGAGGCCAGAGAGCACGCGTGTCTGAAAGAAACTAAGCACGGGGGCGGAGAACTGCGGCAGCACTCAACAATTAAAGGGGCCCTTTGCCGATGGCACTCGAGGATCAAGCTGGCAAGCGAACCCCACAAGGCCCGAGAGCGAGGGGAAAGGGGGCCCAGGACCCGAGGCAGGAGAGGCCCAGACACCCAAAACCACAGACCTCCGAAGCCACCCGATGATCCTCTGGCGCACCGCGGGTCGGGACCAGTCAAAGGCCTGGCGCCTGCTCGGATCGAGACAAACGCTCGCGTAGCCCAGCGCGCGCCAGCGCCGAACAATCGGCCACGAGGCGGCACCAAGACCGATGAACATTGAGCGAGGCCGCACCTGGGCGGCGGAAAAAGCGGCAGCCAGCTGGCGGGTCAGATGGCCGCCTACCTGGTCGTCAGAGATGGCCTCACTTGGCCACGCGATGTGCCGGCCGCCTGCACGGGAACGCGCCACGGGAACAGCGCACCCAGCGCGGCGATCTGGATCAGCGTCACGAGGTGCGAGCCCACCCGCAGACCGAACTCCATCCGCACAAGCGAGAGGCTGTTGACCTGCTGCTGGTGATTCGTCCTTTTCGCATACGGTCGGAGGGAGGCGAGGGAGATCCCTCGGCCTCGGTCCTGCACCTCGGGGAGAGACCGCCTCGACACAAGGGGTCTGGGAGCCACGAGCGAGTTGCCACGAAACCGAAAGGCCTCCAACGGCCGCAGGTACGCCGCGAAGGCGAGGAGGACAATCATCGCAAACGGCAGCTGGCAGAGCGAGATCATTACGCCTACGATCGCCATCACTGCGGGGCGCTGGATCGGCAGCCGCATGCGCGGCGGCTTCAGCTCCTTCCAACCCACCAAAGCCTTGCAGACCCTTGGGAGTGAAGAACGAGGAGGTTCCAGCGCAGGCAGCAAGTTGCGGATGGCCGCCCGCGTGACCCACCCAGTCGCCGTGTCGGGACCGTCTAAGCCCAGGTGCGCCAGGAAGGCCGTCAAGGTCACGTCGAGCTTGTGGGCCGTCAACCAGGCCAGGCCCATCCACTGGCCCCAGGGAACCAGCCTCTGGGCGTGCCGCCGCCTCCAGAACACCCATGCACCCGCGGCCCAGCACCGAGGCCGACGCCCGTGGGGCCAGCCTCTGACGCGCCTGCGCCCTGGCGCGGGGCGGGCGGCTCGCGCGAGCCCGCCGTCGGCAGACCGTCTCCACTGGCACGACCACCAGGCCACTGCGGCCCCGTGAAGAAGCCCGACCTCGACGGGGCGCCCGACGGGTTGAGCTCGGACGGGACCCAGCGCACGTATGCCCTGCACCCCGTGGCCAGCAATAGTAACGTGATTCGGCGCAAGGGTCTGGTCAAGTTGGCCGTGCGACCTCGGCCCTTGCCTGCACTGCGAGCCAGAGCCAAATTGCCCACGAGGAGGACGAGGCGGCGCCCCTGCAAGGGCCCCGAACGCATGAGGCGCCGAAGAGCGAGCTCCAGAGCGTCACCCTCAGACTCTAAGATGTTCTTCCCCTGCACATGGACCCTGCTAGAGTGGACCACCTTCCAGTCGGGTTCCTGCAGGATCTCTCTGGGCACTTTTGTAAAGCCAGGGAGCCCCGCACCAGCGTTCACGGACTTCTCAAAGTTGGCGATGTCGTCCAAGCCCCGAGACCCACCAAAACCCACAGGACCCCCAGGATGTGGCTTGATGGGGCACTCCTTCGGGCCCTCGCTGTGACCAATACCTTCGTCATGAGGGCGAGGCGCAACACCGCCTGGATCCTCTGGGGCTCCAGCGAGGGCATGACGACGAGCGACGATAGCGTCAGCGAACCTGTACCTGACCTTCTCGGCGAGTCGACCGATCTCGGCGACGACGGGCACGGGGAGCTCGCGACGGCAAACCCCAATCCCATACCCCGACGAGTCGGACGCCACGACGTCGGAGGCCCAGGGAAGGCGCCAAGACGTAGCCCACAATGGCGGCGTAGCTTGAACCCACTGGAGCTCTCTGAGGACCCCGCCCCAAAGCTTGATAGGCTCAGTGGACCGACCCCTGGCAAATGCAAACGCGGCGGACATCATAGACAACGTTTCCCGCCTGCCCAACATAGCCCAAGTGATATGCCCTACCAACGTAGACAGAGCACGTGGAAAAATCGTTCTGTGACGCAGCACAAATCGAATGCCCCGGCGCAGACGGGCGAGGCGAGACCAGGGCGCCCTCATGGCCCCCGTTCACCCCGTCGAACTCGAGGCCCGTGAAGATCATAGGTCCGCGCCTCCTGCACCTCATGAACGGGAAGTCCGCGACGAGAGACCGCTTCCGAGATGAGCTGCAAATTGCGGTCGGCACGCCCTTGGGAGCCCGCGACTACACAGAAGTTGTCAACATAGGCCGCGACCGCCCAGTCGTCGGGGCGCTGCAGCACGGTGGGGGAGGAGCCATCGACGATGAAGCGGCTCTCCTCTACCGCCGCGCCCCTCGCGATGATGTTGCACAATGCGCCCTGGCAGAAGCGCGAAGCCCAGTTCCACCCCATCGGCATAACCAAAACCTCAGGCACCACGTCGATGTCAAGCCCCACGCCCCCCAGTCGAAGTACCAGATTAGCTGCGCACGGTAGAGTGAAAGCGCGGACAAGGTCCGAGGGCAGCTGCATGTGGCAGATGGCGCACTGGATGTCCGCCGACGCCATGTGGCCATTGATCGCGGGGCTGATCTCTACACCTGCCCACGAAGAACTCGTCGGCAGCTTGGTCCCAGCTGGCTCCACAAAAGAGAGATTTGTAATGCTCGTATCAAAAACCATCCGCAAACTCACGTCCTTTTTTGACACGAAGAACACCCCCACGGAGGGCTGCTCTCGGTGCTGACGAGGACGGAACCTGAGCATTCCAGCGGCATCCAACCGACGAAGGAAGTCAGCGTAGCGGTCGGGGCAGCTCAAGAGGAGGGGGTCGACGTACGGCTTCACCCGCCCAGACTCACGGCGCCTGGACTCTGCCACGGACTCGGAGACCAGCATACTCGTCCTCCATGACCCTATCCGAGAGAGAGAGAGAGAGAGAGAGAGAGAGAGACCGGACAAGTAGGCGGACCAGGGTCCGTCCGCGAGGCGCACTGCGGTGCGACAACCCGCCAAACACTATTTGCGGCGGTGCAGCCTTGAGATACGAGGGCGGGCAACAAACCCCCTCCCCCGGCGCAATGCGACTGACGCTACAGACGGCGGACAGACAGTGAAGATCTCACGTGTCAGACCGCGTGACGAAGAAGGCCCCAACAAGAAAGGCGACGTGCTGACACGTGGCTAGGCGGCTTGGCAGACCGCCAGTTGGGCGCTTGGCCGCAACGCGGCGCGCAGGGACGGGGCACCCCCCGCCCCCACGCCCTGACACCGTGGACGCGGGGCCACGCGTGCACACGGGCAGGCAGAATGGCGGAGATTAGCGCGGGGCTCCAGGCGGAGCGCCGCGGAGCGATGACAGCATAGCATGGAGGGTGAGTGGCGGCGCAGCACCATCGGGCGAGGGTGTAAGCAGCTCGGCGAAGGCACGACCGGCGCGGTGGAGGCGCTGGAGCAGAGGGCCTTGACGGGCTTGAGCAGCGGCAAGGTCGGCGGCGAGAGCAGCACACCTCTGCTGAAGAGCGGCCATAGACTGGGACAGCTCGGCTTCGCGGTCGGTGAGGAGCGGCTGCTCCGTGCCTGCGGCCGCGGGCCTCGTGGCGGGGACGAGGTCATCGGTGCGCCTGGCCAGGTGGTGGACCAGCGCGGTGCGGCGATCCGCGTGCTGGCGGCCGTCGCCCTTGCGAGGCGACTGGAGGGTAACGCGCGGTCCCAGGGCTGAAGCCGCTAGGGCCACGCCCCGTGAGGACGGAGGAGCCGCAGCCTCGCACCCAGCAACAGTAAAAGCGTGGACGGGGTGCGACGGCCTGACTGGCTCAGTGCCCTGCGGGGGGGCTGGAGCCGCCCCCGCGGGCTGGCGCTGGTGGGGGGACGGGGTGGGTGGCACGGGGGGACCAATCATGATGCCGTGCGAGGGCTCGGAGGTCGGCCGCGTGGTCGGGTGGCGTCTCGATGGAGCGGCATCGTCGGCAGCGTGGGGTGTCGGCGGGGCGTCGTCTATGCTGCCACTCAATCCGAGGGGATCATAAAGGTCCTCGTCGGCGTCTTGACGGTGAGCGACGTCATCATGTGGGTGCGATGTCGCTCTCGGTGGCGGAGTCGAGGTGGGCGTCGAGAGGCTGCCCGACGGGGCAGGGTTGGCGCTGGCTGGCCCGTCGTCCAGGAAGTCTAATCCCCCGCCGAAGCCGAACGGGTCGTCCTCCTGTTCGTCGTGCATCGCCCGTTGGGCCTCGGCCCAGAGCTCATCCGGGTTCTGCGGGATGTATGGTCCAGCCGCGGGTGGTGCCTGGTCCGACAGCAGGGGGTTCGGTTCCATTTTGCTGAGTTCCGCTGCTGTAAACCCAGCCCTGCGGTGTGGGAGCGGCAGAGTACGGTGTCTGCGCTCGTAGATAGCGACAGCGACCCCATGAAGCACGGTCGCTTGGCGATGTCGTGTTTTGGCAGCTTCAACAATGTCGTCGGGGAGGTTGTGCGTGCGTGCCGCCGCTGTGGCAAGGGCGTCGGCCTGACGGTTGAACTCCTCCGCGATGGGCCCGATGAGCCCAAGGTCGATGCCCAGGTCTCCCAGGTGGCTGGCGATTTTTTCGACGCGAAACATGTTGGGCTTGGCCATAACACATCGGTGGATCTTTTCCCAGAGCTCCGCGTGCGTGCCCTGCGGCGCTGGATGTCCGTCGATGATGCTTTGGAACCCATCGACCACCGCCTGGTTGTCCACGAAAACGTGCACGGGCCGTTCGGCACATGCCGTAAGGTGGACAATGGCGAGGGTCTCCGCAACCTGGGCGTTCTGCGTTAGGCCGTGAACGCGTGCACTGTAGTTCATGCGGTGATCGATGCCGTAGTAGACGCCGTAACCCGCTCGTGCTAGCAATGGGATGGCTTGGTTGGTGCACGCACCGTCCGTGGCAGCATAGACCCATGTCCAACCAGTGTCGTAGTCAAGGTAGGTGGTGTAGGTGTCCTGGGCTGAAGCCGCAGGATCACCCTCAGGGGAGGGCCGCGGAATGGGCTGTGGCAGCGGGTCCCTCGCGAGGTCGGCCTGCAGGTCGAGGAGGGCTGGGTCTTCGTCGAAGAGCCCGCAGTGTCTTGTGTGCGGCGGAAGACGGGCCCACTGGTCGTCACTGATGAGGGTGGTGAGAGGGAGTCTTTCTCGGGCCCAGCACTTACAGTCGCGGACAGTGTGCTCCTGAGTTTCCTCTTCCTCGTCACAGTAGCGGCACATGGGGCTGGGGTCTGCCGACGTGTTTGATCGGGATCGTCGCTGTTGGGTGTGGTCCCCGCCCGACAGGTAGTTCAGGAGGAGCGCCAGCTGCCAGGCAGTGCATTTGGCTGCTCCTTTAGTTCTCGCGAGCCACGTGCTGGCGAAGAGGTCAAGGCCCTGTCTGACAGAGGCGAGGTAGCCAAGGTCGTGTCGCCGTGGCTTGATCCTCCGCAGAAATGCCCTGCGTTGTGAGGCCCGCAGCATGTGCAGGAAGGCGTTTTGGGGTAAATTCAGCCAGCTGATCGGGCAGCCCCAGTCGTCGTACATGATGCCAAATGTGGGCCAGGTCCATCGGAGCTGCTGGAGCGACTGGACGAGTCGTCCGACGGGTCCTCCACCAAACAGGGTCTGGACGTGGTGTTGGAGGTCTCTGGCGAGCCCGCAGAGTGTAACGTCGCGGTTAACCTGTCGCCGCAGGCACAGGAATGCTTCACGCTGCGTGATGGCGTCGATCTCAAGGGCGCGCCCCGGCACGCACACGGCCAGAGAGAGAGAGAGAGAGAGATCGGACAAGTAGGCGGACCAGGGTCCGTCCGCGAGGCGCACTGCGGTGCGACAACTCGCCAAACACTATTTGCGGCGGTGCAGCCTTAAGATACGAGGGCGGGCAACAAAACCCCCTCCCCCGGCGCAATGCGACAGACGCTACAGACGGCGGACAGACGGTGAAGATCTCACATGTCAGACCGCGTGAAGAAAGAGGCCCCAACAAGGAAGGCGACGTGCCGACACGTGGCTAGGCGGTTTGACAGACCGCCAGTTGGGCGCTTGGCCGCAAAGCGGCGCGCAGGGACGGGGCACCCCCCGCCCCCACGCCCTGACACCGTGGACGCGGAGCCACGCGTACACACGGGCAGGCAGCAAGGAGGAAATTAGCGCGGGACACCAGGTGGAGCGCCGCGGAGCGATGACAGCATAGCTTGGATGGTGAGTGGCGGCGTAGCACCATCGGGCGAGGGCGTAAGCAGCTCGGCGAAGGCACGCCCGGCGCGGTGGAGGCGCTGGAGCAGAGGGCCTTGCCGGGCTTGAGCAGCGGCAAGGTCAGCGGCGAGAGCAGCACACCTCTGTTGGAGAGCGGCCATAGCCTGGGACAGCTCAGTTTCGCGGTCGGTGAGGGGCGGCTGCTCAGTGCCAGCGGCCGCGGGCCTCGTGGCAGGGACGAGGTCATCAGTGCGCCTGGCCAGGTGGTGGTCTAGCGCAGTACGGCACTCCGTGTGCTGACGGCCGTCACCCTTGATAGGCGACTGGAGGGTACCACGCAGCCCCAGGGCTGGAGCCGCTAGGGCCACGCCCCGCGAGGTCGGAAGAGCCGCATCCTCGCGCCCAACAACAATGGAAGCGTGGACGGGGTGCGACGGCCTGACTGGCTCGGTGCCCTGCGGGGGGGCTGGAGCCGCCCCCGCGGGCTGGCGCTGGTGGGGGGACGGAGTGGGTGGCACGGTAGGACCAATCATGATGCCGTGCGAGGGCTCGGAGGTCGGCCGCGTGTCGGGTGGCGTCTCGATGGGGCGGCATCGTCGGCAGCGTGGGGTGTCGGCGGAGCGTCGTCTATGCTGCCACTCAGTCCGAGGGGATCAACCAGGTCATCGTCGGCGTCTTGACGGTGAGCGACATCATCATGTGGGTGCGATGTCGCTCTCGGTGGCGGATTCGCGGTGGGCGTCGAGAGGTTGCCCGACGGGGCAGGGTTTGCGCTGGCTGGGCCGTCGTCCAAGAAGTCCAATCCCCCGCCGAAGCCGAACGGGTCGTCCTCCTGTTCATCGAGCATCGCCCGTTGGGCCTCGGCCCAGCGCTCATCCGGGTCTTGCGGGATAAATGGTCCAGCCGCGGGTGGTGCCTGGTCCGACAGCAGGGGGTTTGGTTCCATTTTGCTGAGTTCCGCAGCTGTAAACCCAGCCCTGCGGTGTGGGAGCGGCAGAAAAAAATATACAAAAGAAAAAAAAGAATAATAAAAAACAAAAGCAACAATGGGTTGAGGAAAAGTGCGGAGCCCGTGGCTCCGTAATAAAAAAAAAAAAATTATAATAAAAAACAAAAAAAAAAATAACAAAAAAAACAAAAATAAAAAAAAAAAATAAAGAAAATTAAATTAAATAAAGGGAAAGCGACAGCGACCCAATGGAGCACGGTCGCTCTTGGCGATGTCGTGTTTTGGCAGCTTCGACAATGTCGTCAGGAAGGTTGTGAGTGCGTGCCGCCATTGTGGCAAGGGCGTCGGCCTGACGGTTGAACACCTCCGCAATGGGCCCGATGAGCCCAAGGTCGATGCCCATGTCTCCCAGGTGGCTGGCGATTTTTTCGACGCGAAACATGTTGGGCTTGGCCATAACACATCGGTGGATCTTTTCCCAGAGCTCCGCGTGCGTGCCCTGCGGCGCTGGATGTCCGTCGATGATGCTTTGGAATCCATCGACCACCGCCTGGTTGTCCACGAAAACGTGCACTGGCCGTTCGGCACATGCCGTAAGGTGGACAATGGCGAGGGTCTCCGCAACCTGGGCGTTCTGCGTTAGGCCGTGAACGCGTGCACTGAAGTTCATGCGGTGGTCGATGCCGTAGTAGACGCCGTAGCCCGCTCGTGCTAGCAATGGGATGGCTTGGTTGGTGCATGCTCCGTCCGTGGCAGCGTAGACCC